TAATTACAGATTAAAAAGTTAATTTCTTTTAAAAGAATAAATGAAGTATAGTAATTTATATAAATATATTAAAATTTCTATATAAATTAATTTAATCATAATATATCATCTATAATTAACTTTATAAAGGATTAAAAACATAATAATAAATAAAAAATAAATTAATTACAATATACTGTAAAATATAATTTTGTGATTATCTATAACTAATAACTGGATGAAAAATTGGTTAAATGAGATATAACAATTTAATCAAAAGTTTTTTCAATATTATTTGTGAATATATAAAAAAAAAAAACAAGATTATTTTTTTGAAAAACTATCTTAAAGAATAACTCAAGATCTCTTAACATCTATATAGACCATAATTAGTAAACTTTATTGAAAAATGTAAAAGAATTTTAAGAAAAAAAATCTGAAATAGTTAATATGTCAAAGTAATAGAATGGAAGAAAGAACTAAATATTATTAAAAAGAAAAAAAAATTCAAAAAACTTGAATGCAAGTTCATTGGACAGACTACACAAGACCAAGAACTTCCTTCACTTCCAATTGGAAATCCAGTTCAAGAAGAAATAAGGAAAAATAAGGAAAAGAATTATATAGAAATTATTAAGGATTGGATTTATTACCGAATAAAATGGTTTGATTTTTAACTGCAAGCAGTGATTCTGTTGATTAAGGAATATTTCAAATCAGTAAAGAAACAAAATATCATTCCCTAGGTTACACCTAGAGAAATAATTTTTGACAACAGGTGAGTCAGCATGTGAAAGTTAAATAATTTATAGATATTATGTATTTACTGTATATAATAAAGACAAGCCGGCTGCGGGTTTAAAAAAAAAAAAAAAAAAAAAAAAGTAAAATTCCGTGATTTTTTTTTGGACCGAGTTTTGTGTCACATTATCTATAAATACGTAACTTTTTTAGATCACGAATTGGTTGACTCGATCGAAATTCCAACAATGCCAAACTATGTGATTCATACTAAAGCATACCTAAAGATAATCCTTCACGCTTGTAAACATCCCTTCTCTAATATAAATGGAATCCTTCTTGCCAGCGATTCCAAAGTCAATGATCGAATAAATATTGTTGACGCTGTTCCTTTATTTCACCATTGGACCACGTTAACTCCAATGCTGGAAATTGGGTTACAACAGGTATTAAAAATGTATTTTAAATTCCGGATTTTTTGTTTTATTTACGTCTTGGTTTTTATAAGGTGGACGTATACGCTAGCAGAAATAACTTTAGAATTGTCGGTTATTATCATGCCAACGAACGGACTGATGACAACAAGTTGCCTTTATTCGGCCAAAAAATTGTATCAAAAATACACGAAAACTTTAATGACGCCGTTGCACTTGTGGTAAATACTTTGGTTATTCCATTCTTTTGTCAATCCATTGTAAAAATATTTATTCACATTGAACTAATATAGGTCCAGAACACAAAACTATCGCCCGAGAATCCAGAAATTGCTATTGTGGCAAGTTTATTTTCAAAAGAATTTTAAAGGTGTTTGAGTAGTTGACTTTCTTGTGTCAAATGGTTTTTCATTTATTATTATTATTATTATTTGCGCTTATAGCCATACACCTTCAAAGAGAACCAATGGCGTCCAGAGAATAAAGCGTTTTCTTCAAAAACTGAATTATCGACTGCCAATTTATTCTCGCTTGAAAATTCCGACGCGCCCACTTTGGTATCACAATCAATTCTGAAAAGACATTTTGAATATTTGTATGATTTTGATGAACATATGGAGAACATAGAATTGGATTGGTTGATTAATTCGAAAGTTGAAAATTTAGAAAATGAAAAAGATAAAAAACATAAATGAAATTTGTTCACTTATAATAAAAAAGAAATATGCTTAATCACAATCTTTGATAATAATGAAGAATTTCAAATACTCGTCATTTCTCATTCCACTGGTGTCCGCAATCATGGTTACAGCACTTGAAAAATATTGACATTGGTTCATCGGCCGAACGAGTTTGAATCTGCATGAAGTATGCTCTCGGGTGTTCACATTTTGGACACCTCGCTTGTAATATTAAAAGGTCGTAGTTATGATTTTTTTTTTTTTTCAAAGTCAAATAATCTTTGATACTGAATGCATTACCTTCCGTCGAATCAACATTTTTCCATGCCTCCTCACCACCCAAAACGTCATCAACTTCTTTACGTTTCAGAATGGTCCGATTTTTATACTAATTCGAAAAATCGTCAAAATATGGTATCACCTCAATTTCATATATTACTCGTAAGGGGACTTACAATTTGTTGCCCTATTCTACTACCAATTGGGAATACGTATGGGCAAGTCTGACAATAAAATGATTGTTCTCCCTGCGTATGACTTTTGATCAAAAGTATATTTCCGCAGGATGGGCAGAATAACATTTTTTTCGGATTATATATTCTTCAAAGCTTGTACCATGCTTTTCTTTTTTTTTAATTTTATTGTCATGTGATTATAATATAAAGTAGAGATTGAACTTGGCTAGCGTTAGTCTAATTAGTTATTGCAAAGTACTCGGCGAACTAGGAAACCTTTTTATTGTGATAGGTCATCAAATCACATGATAGGGTAAGCTTGAACTATAATAGTCACCCGCAGCCGGTGGAAAAACACGATCTCCTCCAATTTTTCAGCAACAATGGCAGAAGCAGAAGCTGAAAAGGCAATGAAAAGACTTGTCGATGATGCGTCCCAATTAAAGTACATTCCATCTGTGACTCTAAAAGTTTACCTCCGTTCAGCAAATTCCTTATTATTGCAGGTATCGTTGAGCAAAACATTGTTATCATAAGTTGCGTTTCATGTTTAATTGCTTATTTTTCATTTGACATAGGCCAACCGCTATAAGGAAGAAAATGATATAGTGAACGCGTATAAATTTTACATGAGATATGCCACGTAATTAATTTCACCATGGAATTGGTAATTTATTTCATAAAAATCGGACACGATAATAGCATTATTTTGACAAATTTGCGCAAATCGATGTTTTCCCAGGCTAGCACTCGAAAAATTACCGCAACACCAAGATTATAAGAAACCTGAATACAAAGAAGGGAGATTAGAGCTTGCTAAAGTGCTGTATCTCGTTTAACATTTCAATTGATTCATATAACAATAATAACACGATCACTTTATAATTTTTAGAAAACTAATATAGTTCTTGAAGAAATACAAGAATTAAAACCCATATTAAAACGACACTTTTTACAAATTGCTGAAGCGGCAGCAGCCGAAGAGGAAGCACGACGTTTGAGTTCACAAGTTGGACACCTAAGTCAGACTTCGCGGGAAATTCCTACGTCGAACGCTCCAATCGCTGAGTGGAATCACGCCGCACAATTTGAAATTCCTATTCCGAATAATGAGTGGAATCTTGCCGAGCAATTAAAAGATCTGCATCTCAATACCTCCTCCAGAGCAACGTACGATACTACTTGAATACATTTCTTGTAATGATAATATATACGAGTTATGAGAATTAATAATCAATCTTACAGCATCATCGAAGAGCAACACCACCACACAGTGAGCTTTTTTCTTTTTGGATTATGTGACCGGAACGATAAGAAAAATTCACCGATCTTTTTATTCTATTGACAGGTGCAATATCCCGGTATTTCAACGAGAAATAAGAGCGATGGGTATTTTTACGTCTCAAATGAACGATTTATTTTAGGAAATATTATTTATTAAGTACATGCACGTCGCAATTAGATATACATATACGGTTCGTGAGATACCACCCCCGATGGTTCCTCCAAAAATTAAGCACGAAGCGCCACTGATTCCACCTAAACCGAGTGAATACGATCCAGGTTTATATTTTAGGAAGGCTGAGACTTTACCAGGTAAAGTACTGCTTTTTTTTGTTGTTGTTGTTAATTTTGAATTATGGTGAATATTAACACATTTATGTGCAGAGTTTGCAGCTTTTACTGAAGGTGGTGAAGGGTTACGAAAAGTATGCCTTCCAGATAACATATACGATATCTTTACCAAAATAGCAGCAAGTAATACTACTAAGAATTTGGAGACTTGCGGAATCTTATTTGGGTTGTTGGTAAATTAACTGCCCTCAATTTTATTGAATTATCAGTGTGTTTGGTGATTTTATTAATCGCTTTGTTTGTTTTAGACACACAATGTTTTTTATGTTACGACACTCATTATTCCCAAGCAAACTTCAACTTCTGATACGTGTACAATGACCAACGAAGAGGAGCTTATTGAGTATCAAGAACAAAGGAGTTTGATTATGCTCGGTTGGATCCATGTAATCATTATAATCAAAACTGACATTTTTTGAATTTACTTGTGTTTTATTATTGTGACAAATTTGATTTTTTTTTTTTTAGACGCATCCTTCTCAAACTTGCTTCATGAGCTCGATGGATTTGCATACGCATTCTTCTTACCAAGTCATTTCTCCGGAGGCAATTGCTATTGTCTGTTCCCCTAAACACCAACCAAAGTAATTTTTGTTATATTATTTTGCATATTATTGTTTTATTGTGATCTCAATAACATTTTAAATTGCAATTCCTAGCTTTGGAATATTTCGTCTTACGAATCCACCGGGCCTACAGACAGTGCTTCAATGTACTCAGAGAGGATTTCACCCGCATGAATCGCATTTACCTATCGAGAAGGTATGTTATATTACGTGCTGCCTATAACTTATACTGAATATTTATTATTAGTCTTTGTTTAGGAAATATCGCTTAATGGTCACGTTGAAATGAAACAAATGAAACTAGAAATTATCGATTTACGATAATCCTGTGATGTATATATATATATATATATATTGATTTATTTAAAAATCCTAAATTTAATTATTTAAAAAACCGAACTTAATATACTGTATATATATATTTAAAGTTTTCAAAATTAATAAATAAATTAAAAAAATTTTTTAAATTAAACCAAATAAAAACTATTTCTGCTACAATATAAAAAAATATTTTTTCTATTACTTGTTAATTACATGTCATTTATATAATAAAATAAACAAATTTATACTATACAACAATTTAATACTCGTCATTTCTCATTCCACTGGTGTCCGCAATCATGGTTACAGCACTTGAAAAATATTGACATTGGTTCATC